ATATATCTTTCTCTCTTTCTTTGCCTTTCCCTCTCTTTCTTTCTATCTTTCTTTCTTTCTTATCACATTCTCACTCCCTCTATCCTATCTCTTTCCCCACCCCCTCTCTGCTCTATTTTCTCTATTTCTGTTATTCCTTTCTTGTCTTTCGCTTGCCTCGTCCCCTGCTTACTCTTGTCTCCTTTTGCCTCTCCGCTATACCCCCTCCCCTCTACAAACAAACAAACACACACACACACACACACACACACACACACACACACACACACACAACCACAACCACAAACAACTCCAAAAGTTATAATAATATACACTCAAGACACGCTTTCCAACAATCTCATAATATGTACCACTCAATCACTCACCTTCAACAACAAAAAGATCGACACTGGAGTGTGCACTTCCCCCTTCACTAGATAAAGTCACCGTATATGTTCCAGAGTTGGTGGAGCTGGGCTCACTGAACTCAAGGATGCAAGTGTCGCCCTCGACGATGAAGCTGATCCCGTCTCCTTCTTTGATTGGCTTGCCTCCCTTTGTCCAGGACACCGTAGGTTTGGGGCTACCTCCGATAGTACACTCCAAGCGAGCTGATCTCCCTTCTGGTAAAGAAATCAGAAGAATAAACACACAATGAAAAGTTGACAACCTAGTTTGGTATCATGTAGCATCAAGTAGAATATTACCCGAATATACTACATGTGTACTTTTCTTGTTTTTGGAGGAATCACTTTAAAAACCACGTGAACAACGGCACTGAAGCAAAGCAAATCTTCTGGAGCCTCAGTTTCAGTTTGCGTCATGAGAGCACACTGGCCTCGATACCGGTAATTCAGAGCAGGGAAAAAGAAAGACAGATTAACAGAAAGGATAGAGGTAAAGAAGTCGATTAAGACCGACCAGTGGCGCTTGGAGCCTCTTCCCTTTATGTGTCATATCGTAATTTAAAAAAAACAAAGAATTCACCTACGAGGTCATGGTTGAACGTCTGTCTAAGACTCTTGGTAGTTTTAAAAGAGCAAGGAGCGAGCAGCTCTTAAACTGTTATACAAAACTGAAACCATGTAAATTAAATAATTCTGAGAGTATTAGGCACTTTTCCTCTTCACCCCACACTTCCTACTTCACTCAACCCTTCCTCAGTCTCTCAGTATTTTTTGTATTCTTTGATAAACCATTTGCAGATTTAAAATAACCACTCTTCCAAATTGACACAACCACCACCAACAGCAACAGTAACAACAGCAGCAGCAGCAGCACAACCATAAATAACAGTTGCTGCTTCAACTAATTACAACACTTTTTTCAAATTCACGAAAAGCAGTTAGGCCATTTGGTTATCCCAAGAATGTCATCAAGGAAATATAGCAGCCGTCTCAGGTATACTGTTTGTGCATACTTTGGCTTGTTTCCAAGCTGATGGGTTATGGAACTTTTCAGAGACGTGAACTAGATCTAGAGCTTATTAAATAATGTTTACTGCCATGGCCGCGAGGCGTATGCACAGAGCAGAAATTAGGAAAATCATAACTTAATAAACCGCACGATTCTTAAAAAATGTATGCAGTAATAAGGCATATAAATACAGTACAAAAATAGTCTGCTTGTTTATGTCTGCTTTGACTCATGAAGATCTATATTACTGACCTCTGTCATGCCGAGTCTTACTAAAGTTTGCACCATCTCCACAACAAGAACACCCAAAAGGAGGCGGCAACATTATAACATCAGGCAGTACACTCATGGTCTAACAAGTGGCGTCTGATGAGGTATAACTTGCAGCGTACACTTAAACCCCACTTGGACTCCTTCACCTTCCAAAAGGTTACTACTGCTGACTTAAATCAAAACACCACATTCTCCAAAAGTAATAGATTAAAAAAAAAAACAATCTGAAAAACGGCGACGCCATGACGACCTGTGAAACTGTAAGGTTTGCTTGATCTTGGTGTATACTACATTATTTTTTTTACGACTATTATTGCTATATCTAATCATAGGCACTCTTTCTGTCTGAAAGAACGGAATTCAGTAGTGCGGTCCTTAAGCCCTGACGTAAAGTTCCCACAGACAAAATTAATTTCGACTGTGGCGTTGACCTTGCATTGGTCTTCTAAAATGAGACAGACTGCTGGTCCACACAAAGGTAGGGGCTGTGGCTGCATCCACTCACGTCGTAACGTAGTTTGACACACAAGTTGCACAGGCCTACCCTTGCAGCCTCACACCAAGGTGCAAACTCCCAAAACATATTCTCAATTGCACACCGCCCCCCCCCCTTTCCCCGACTCATTTTTCCGTGACTCTTACTCGAGACTACATCAAGCCCAGGACTCCGGGTATATTTTTGATTCAAAGTGGTAGATTTAATTGCAACACCAAGTTTGTAATATTTTAAAATCTATTCCTACTTTCATTATGCTCTTAAATACGTGTTTGACTTACTTTTCAGTCATTACACACCCATTATACTCAAAGCCTTCTATACGACTGCTAATACCGGACAATTACCAACTATAGTGAAAACAAATTGACGCAAAAGAATTGTGGTTTCTCAATAGACACTTGCAAATTTCATGGAAGGAAAAGAAATGAAATGAGGTAGTGCTCACAGAAGCCTACGTAGGCCACTCACTAATCTAAACAAACATGAAGAGACAAGCAGTTCCTGGGACACTTGAATTAGCATTAAAGCCTTGGGCATCTTGTTCTCACTCAAGAAAAAGAAGGCAAACATCCCAGAGGTAGACCGAGAACAACGCACAAGGAAACACCGTGATAAGATTTTTTGTTTGTTTTAAGCATCCAAGTAAAGAAAGGAATGTAGAACCGTAATTGCCTATTTTTGTTTCAGATAATGGGGCTATTCTACGCGACTTCATTTTCGGTCCCGGCAAGCCCCGCCCTCTTTATAACGCACCCGACACCACTGGGTCGACGATTCTATCCAACAATGCTGCAGAAGACAAACCAAGCCATCTAGCTTTCTATAATAAAATAAATACATTCCTATCGGAATTGGACGTTAAACTCGGAGATCCCGCCTCTAAAAGAACGTAATAGTAATAGTTTGATCGGGGCGTCAAAACTATACACTTA